TTTTTTCGCACAAGTCTGCATGTGCTTTGCGACGTTCATCTCGTGTGGCCCTCGGTCCAACCACACAGCTTCTTCTGTTTTTTTTTTCACCATTTCTTTGCCTCCCACCGGCCTTGAATACTGCTTACTGCGTTACCGCGTCTAAATTCCCATGAAAAGAACCTAACGATCCCGCCTATTTTGTTTTTTAACTCACCGCCGAAAGTGACTAATTTTTCTTAGTTTTCGGATAAGCATAGTAGGACCCATTCTTGGCCCTTGCTTCGTTCAGCGGAGGAAGCCAGTTCCGTAGCCTGTTTTTGCGTCTGTGACATCTCGCGTCATGCTGAAGCCAAATGTTATTTCCCACACAACCGACTGCTGACTATACTTGCTTTTTCTCTTATCGTCACCATCAGTTTGCTGGAGAATCTGTCAATCTAGTTCGTCCGTCAAACCCGACGGGGTGAACATCTGCCCAGGGTCATGCAATTCGCTTCATGGGCAGTTCCAACAGCAGGGCACTGTCGAACCGACTACACATCCGTCTCACCTCATTGTCTGGCTGGATGCTGACTTCGGTCTTTCTCTTTTCACACTGCTACTGAGCTGTCAATCAACAAAAACCGTAATTCTGAAAACCCAAACCCTACCTAAATGAGGGATGACAAACAAGGCAAAATAATATGGAGGTGTTGCGACCGTGACTTTAGGCTTGCCAGGATAACGCGAAAACACACCAGAAACCGGTTCGCGAGCGTTCATATCAGATCTACCTTACATTCAGTCGTTCCATTGGTCTTTTTTCTTCCTTGCTGTCTCTTCGAAAATCTCGTAGGAAAGGCCAGCTTGAGTAATATTCTGCAGGCATTCCATTATGTCATGCAACTGTTTGCGAGTAGTGTGGTGGTAGTCCAGAAACATGTTGGCAAATGCAGTTACTGTGGGAAGTAAGGGACACTAGTAGCCGGACGGTATTCTCTCGCCAGCCTCCCGGTGTCTTGTTGTGTGCTCTACCTCCGAGTTATGGCAGTCACACCTTCAAACTCGGACCTACCCCAATAAATCGGCACGAATGCATATTTGCTTGTGTCTGGCACACCATGACTCAGACTAACCTACCATTACCTATGATTAAGGATTCCCAACGGAATCCAAAATGTCAAGAGAATAAAATTCTTGTTCCAAGGGGGTCGCACCGTCTTCCAAACTGCTTCCTGGAACTCGCATTTTCACTTCTATTAGTAGTCTATTTGTCAAAAGTGTCTGGAGCAACAGGAATGTTTGATTTGAAATTCTGGTTATCCTATCCCTGTCAGCTTCGCTGAAAGCCCACTTCCTCTCCTTTCTCCTGTGTCATATTTATAGCCTAGGAAGTTTGTTTTGCAAAATATTTTTGTTTGTCTGTGTTCTATGCGTAGGTAGAATTATTTGTCCCAAGAAGATGGGAGTAGATGTCACTGCTATAAGACTTTTGATCCTAAAAACATAATGCATCATCTGCTTTCTCCAGAGAATACACAACAGTCCGGAAGCTGAAAAGAATGTATCGAAAGAAACAGCCAGTAAGGGGTTTTGTGTAACAGTTTTGCACACCGCATTACTTGATTTTGCGGAATTAGCCGACATATGTGTATGTTCCTTCTTGTGCTAATGCTTGATCAGTGAACTTTCATAACTCCTCAACCATTCACTCCTTGTAGTGTACATATGTACTATTTGTTTTCCAAATGCATCGGAGTTCATATAAAAGACTGGGTGACGTTGGCTTTTAGCTGAGATTGTCTCTTAGCTTGGCTAATATAGTGTCTTTTTAATCAGGCGAGCCTCTAAAGCTTGTTCACTATTTTTGCCGTATGGCAATTTTCCGCAAGACTTTTTGTCAGATACATCTCTGCTTGCCATAATTGCGGGAATGCGCGCTTAGTGGAACTGAATTACCTTTGCTAATAGTTGTCAGCAACATCGTTTTGCGATATACAGTCCTTTATTGGTTCACCCCCATCGTTGTGCAGCCAAACTTTCCTGCCGGTGACAAGAGGGTTTCAGTTGAGCTGTCATTTCATGGATTTGAGATGCGTAGGTATAAGAGCACACTGTGAACTACTTCTTTAATGGTTTATTAATCCACAACCCCGATCTCACTCTCAGCGTCTTTTCGTTCTTCGTCTTTTTGCATTCTCTTTAGGCTGAAAATCTACTTCTGGATGACTCTATGAATATCAAGATTGCCGACTTTGGCTTCTCGAACAATTATTCCTCCGCCCGGAAGCTGGATACCTTCTGTGGCAGTCCCCCCTACGCTGCACCCGAACTCTTTCTCGGCCGCAAGTACGACGGTCCCGAGGTGGACGTCTGGTCGCTGGGCGTTATCCTCTACACCCTCGTCAGTGGCTCCCTCCCCTTCGACGGCAAAAATCTCAAGGTCAGTGCGTTTGCCTATCCTGGAGTGGGAGCGGGGATGGGCGAGGCCTAAACGCTTTAGCACGCATTCATTCCTTCCTGGTACCGAAGAGGCCTCAACAAGGGGTTTTGTCAACCAAGAGTGAGCAATAGAGCAACTCTACCTGTGTGTGTGTGTGTGTCCGTCGAGCCCTTGACACGCTCGAGTACCTGGCTGTGTTAAAAGTTGCATCAGAATAATGATCGACCAACAGCTGCCATCCTCCGACAGAAAAGTATAAACTGCGTCAAAAGATGGTGGAAGAAAAAGAAATAGGCAAATTACTGGCGTTTTTGTAGCGAAATAGAAGGCGCATTTGTAAAAATCTCAGTGGCCTCAATGGAGTTCGAACTTTGACAGTATTCTCAAGCCCTGTCCCGACTGTGAGAAGTTTGGACACCAGTGAGGTTGGCCAAGGTTTCCCAACTGGGCCTGGTGAATCATTAAAGTATTCTATTTATTTTTAAGGAGACGTTAGTCGCCGTGATGCACCTCACCAGTCTGAAAACTTACTGAGGAGACACCGTTTTCCAACTAAAGCCTGACTATTTTTAGGAGATCTTGCAGTTGATTTCATTTTTCTATTCAGTAACCGTTATTTAACATACATAGTTTCTCTTTGACACATGCTTTTCCGCCGATTATAAGGGATGCCATCCTTATTGACTACTTTTTAACTTATCCTTGGGCTAAAAATGAGTATTATAGGTTTCAGTGCACGGTAAAGACACTTAGAAAAATATCTGTTTAAGTTCTCTAAAGCACTATTTCACCTTCTGCTAGAAAAAGTAGATTTGCGCGCTTAGGATCTTACGGAACCACTTGCCGTTAAGGTTATTCTTCTTGACCAAAGCAGCAACTTTTTCCAGTTTTTAGCCTCTTTGTTTTGATTGATCCGCATCGGTCAACTTCTCTTGCAATATTCTTCTCTCGTGGCTGAATTTCCTTCATATTGCTTTTCCAGTTTTATGGGCTTGGTGGGACTCTGTTACATGGTTTGTGTTCTCTTGATCAAGCAGATTTACATGCGAATTGGTCCCACCACAATTATTTCTGTAACCTATTTTTACCTTTCTGCTAAATTTCCCCATGGCTGTTATTTCGTCATAGTGTTGTGCTCTAGAGGAGATTTTGTTGGTTGCGTTTGCGAAAAAAAAAACGGTTAATGCTCCTTCGCATGAGACCAAACGAACCTAACTAAGCGCGCATTCGTGCTGGTCGCGGTGCATGCTCTCGGTGGGCTGTAATCGTTCTCCTGTTTGCCAAGCGCGGATCCTCTTAGAATTACATCACATCCTTACTTCAGGAAGTCCAGTTAGGCGAACGAATGTTTTCGATTAATTCATCATCAGGCAATACAGTAATATAAGGTTGGGTAGAGTTAACGCTACCCTCCCTTATCTTACTGTATTGCCTGATGATAAATTAATCGAAAACGTTCGTTCGCCTAACCTGACTTCCTGAATGCTTACATGGGTATCATCGCTGAACCTCCTTACTTGTTGGTCGTCGCTGCTCAATCCTCAGGTCTGGGGATTCTAACCTGTCTCGCAGACCAAAGGTTGCCGCCGTTGGCATTCATCTGCGCAGGTCGAACGTCGAAGGGGGGGAGCTGGGTGAGTAAGAAAGCCCTGCGCTCCCTCCGTTCACTCATTTAAAGGTACTTTTATCGCCAACTGTGTAGTTCGGAATGCTGGTTAGTTGGCCACTTCAGGTTTATTGGAGGCGAACGCACTCGCTTACTGACTGCACACAAGCACGACCATGGAGTAAGCTTCCTCATCGCCAGATCGTAGGCGACAACTGAAATGATGAATGTCTGCATCCACGTTTTCGCGGTT